TCAACTAATAAAGTGGAAAATAACAGCATGTAGGAGAGCATGTTAAATAAAAAGGATACAGGTAATATATGCTTTTGGATAACAATATGTAAAACTTGCTTATAAAACTTTAAGGGAGTAGAAAAAAGGTCAATAGTTGTAACAAGATGATGGGTTTGTGGGTGATCTGTTTTGGTTTATTGATTTCCCACACTTTTGGTAGTGATGTAGTATTGTTTTAAAAATGTAAAAATAAAAAAAATACTCTTAAAAAAAAAGAAAATTCTGCGTGCCTCCCTGGCAGTTGGCCCCTGGAAGAGATGAGAGCGTACAAGTTCGACACGCCCTAGGCTGAAGGGGGCTCCAAGTGCAGCGGGCCTGACTCAGCAGCCAGGGGAGACCAGAGGAACCTGGCATGGGGGCGCCCTACAGTGCGACCCCGCCCTTGCTGGGTTCTTTTTTTACCAAGGCCACTGCCCCACAGAGTGCCCGCGGCGCGTCCCTCTCGGTGAGCAAAGCCCTCCTCCCCAGCCTCCGACCATGCTGTCCCCTTTCAACCCGCCTCGCGTCGATTCTGTTTAAGAGAAGGGAGGAGATGCGGAGCACCTAGACGTCCACAAGTGCAGGGGATGGAAATCCAGCCCGGATCCCTGCGCGCCGGATCCCCCTCAACCCGAGCCCCGCGTCCCAGCGTACCTCTTGCAGGGTATAAGCGCCTTCCTCTCGTCCAGCACCCGGATGCGCTGGTTGAGCCCGTCGTAGGAGATCAGGGAGCGGCTGTTGCGGCTGCTGCTCTGCAGGTACAGAACCTGGCGCCCCTCCCACTGCTGCGGCGCCTGGCACGGGAGCGGTGAGCCCTCGGCCCCCCGCGCCGCCGCCCCCAGTCCGCAGAGGCCTCCCAGCGCCCAGACCCAAAGGCCTACCAGCAGCCAGGCCGCCAGGGATCCCCGGGCCACGGGGAGGCAAACCCGCCATGGCATCGCTGCCGCCGCCCCTGCGATCCCCCTAGAGTGAAGCCGAGCCCAAGGGGGCGCTGAGGCACCCGGGCGTAGCGTGGGGCTCCGCCCTGTGCTCCCCGCACTTGCCGGGAGTGTGATGTGGGCGAAGTTGCTACCAGTCCCCGCGGCGGCCTTTGCAGCTGTTGGGATATGGGCACATGAGACCCAGAACCCGAACCAGGAGCCTGGGAAGCTCCAGTGGATAGCGCAGGAGCTGTTTCTGCCTTGGCCACTGCCTGCAGCAGCTTGTTTTTACTCGCTCTCTGCTGCCGACAGGAAATGCAGTGGCAGAGGTGCCACTTGCATTCTGAAGGTCACCGCGTTTTAAAGGGGGGGGAGGGAGTGTGCTGAGAAGGACGGTGTTTCTCCACTAACTGCAGTGTTCAGCAGGTAATCTCATACCAGGGGAGAATTTCAAGGTCAAGTTTAGGAAAGCAGTACTGCTGCACTTTCTGTGACCCACATGCCTTTCCATTTCTCCAAATTGCAGTCTTCTTCCTGCAAATTAAAAGTGGAAAGAAGAATCCTTTCCTGAAAAAATGATACCAGCCATTCATTATGGCCACTTCCCAGCCCCCACTCCCAGTACAGTCTAGGTGGCTAGTGGAAGGGCAGAGGGCTCAGGACCTCTCCTCAAGGTCATCCTTCCAGGGAGACTGCTCCCATTCCCCATCTCCTGATAATACCACAAACTTAGAGATTTGTGTGTCGCATCTTCAAGATGAAACTTAATGTTTGTGTTATGCTTGTGTAGTGCTAGAATCTACGATACTGAATCAAAAAAATAAAGAAGGAAAGAAACAATAAAAAAAAAAAAAAGCCCCTTGCTTTCCAAGTCTTTTCATTTGAGCTGAGTTTCAAAAATGAGGAATAAGGAGGCAGGTGAAAGTGAGAGGAAGAACTTTCTGGATAAAGGATATGCTGACAAAATGG